GAACTGAAAGGTGAAAAACAACTCTCCTGTGTAATATTACAGATGTGACTGGATGTGGTGCTGTAGTAAATTTACAAGTGGAAGAATGCTCACTGCCTGTCTGTTACGAGTGTCATGAAAGTAGCAGTGGCAGAAATACCTGGCGCATGGGGCAAGATGATCTTCTAGTGTTGCTACATTAGTTGTCATTGCTGTTGCTTTCAAAAGTGGGAAGGACAGAGGAACCTGACAGCATTACCGGCTAGGTACCTGATGAAGTGGCTATATTTGTCACTAGATGAGACTCATCAATAGAGTGCTAATGGAAGATATGTTTATCATTCTTAATTACTAAAATTCCTGTACTGAAATACCAACTTACACAGCAGGAATCATGAATTTAAGTAATATAAGATGCTGATAAAATATTCTTGTCTTACCAATCCATATAGCCTGATTCTCATACAGTCAGCCCTCCTTATCCACAGATTTTTTATTCACAGATTCAAGCATCCATTGCTTGAAAATATTCCAAAAAAGTATAAATTCCAAATGGCAAACCTTGATTTTCCATTTTATATAAGGGACACCATTTTGCTATGCCATTGTATTCAATGGGACTTGAGCATCCATGGATTTTGTTATCCACGGAGGGTCTTGGAACCAAAAGCCAGTGGATAACAAGGACCCACTGTATATCAGAAATCCTTCTTCCATGAAAACACATTCTGATCATGTCTATGAATTGTAGTGGATTCCACCACCACCCCCGCCCCAGGTCTTTTCTAAGATGGAGATAATGGCTATATTTAAATATTGGTAGCTATTGAAAATATTTCCACACATCTTATATTTCAAAACAATGGATATATATGAATTAGGTAAAAGAGAAAGCACACTTGTTAGTTTAGAGGATCGTGACAATACTTGGATCTGGTTTTGACTATCAAAATTCAATGGCCAAACCACTTGCGTGTTTCAGTTCAAAGCACACCATATATTTTCAATTATTAAACTGTAGACAAAAACAATGGATAAAGAGCCTTTGCTACAGCTACCCTGAAATCTCAATCTGAAATAGTAGCTTCTAACTGGCTGCAGCTTTAGTTTCAGCTCTTTGTCAAACAAATTTATTAGAGATAAACCATAGACTCACAAATCAAAACCTAACCTTGTACCTGAAGCAGACTTCTTGTGCTGGCCATAACAGCATATATTACCATGAATGTTGAAGATGCGTACTGGGATACTGTATCATTTGTGGCTTGTGATCTTATTTAAGGGATATGATGAAAGTATTTATACTGGTGAAATAAAAGTACATAGCCTATAATCTTCCCACTTTCTAAACCAGGGACAGTCAAAATTCTGTTATTGATGAGAAGAACTGATTTGTACAAGTCAGTGTAAATCACAAGGCTTAAAAGAAACTTTGAAAGTTATATATTAATTTATTTCATTTTTTAACTATTTGAAGTCTGCAAGGGTAACAGTTGTCTTATTAGTAGATAGCCAGCACCATAAAGATAGCTCTAACTGCTTGAAAGTCTCTCCTCATAAGGCATGGTATCCATTCACCATTTTGGTTGCCCTTCTCTGGACGGAATATCAACATCCTTCTTGAATTGTGGTGCCCACAACTGGACACAGTTCTGACCAAAGCAGAATACAGTGTTACTGTCACTTTCCTTGATCTAAACCAGTGATTCTCAAAGTGGATGGTATGCCCCCCCCCCGGAATGGTGGAAGGATTCAGGGGAGCAGTGAGGGGGAAAGGGAGAATAAGGGGCCTTTCAGTCAAAGTACTGGTGTACTAGAAAGCCAAAGGGAACCAGTGGCCTTTAGGACCATAGTAGGGATGAGGGTTGCATGAAACTTTTCAGGGTCACTTAAAAGCACCTGTGGAGCCACACCGATTACTTTGTGTTGTAGTGTCTCTCACTCTTCATCTCTTCTCCTAAGCTCAGTCCCTTAGCCACATCTTTCATTTGGAGTGGAGTGGAGTGGAAAATAGTAGTACTGGCAGTTGGGGAGAAGTGAAGATAAAAAGGAGCTTCCAGATTTGGGACTCCACTTAAGCTTTGTGAATTTTGCCAGGACTTGGCTGATAGGTTGGAGTTGCACTACAGTTTCTACTTTCTTTTATTGAACAGGCTAAGAGAAGAGGTAGCTGAAGAAACAAAGTGGGGGCCACTTGAAGCTATGCGGGAGGAGTATCTGGGGTCAATTGTTGGACAAAGTCCTTTGCTTGGAACAATTCCAGTAATTAAAATCTCTCCCTTTCCCTGTCCTTGCCAGTCTACAGTCCAGAGCATCTGGCCTCTGTAACCCCACACACACACATGTACACCTGCTGTGCCCCTCTCGATACCAATGGAGAAGGACTGAGTCTTTCCTTGCCAGGGAGAAGCTTCTCTCTTTGCATCTGGCCACTTTGGAAGCTGCAACTGAGCAGCTGGCTGAGCAGTGACCAAGAAGCTTATTGCCTGAACTAGTCTTTGCTGCAAGGCAGCAGCATCATTGACATCCTTCCCTACTAGACCAAAGAGAACAATTAGTAATGCTTGCACTAATGTTACATGTTAATAATTCTGTATATCTCTGAATGTAATGCCAATAGTTGTAACCTAAACAACTCCTAAAAAATGTCTTTGTCATCCTAACTCCTGAAGCTGTAAGCTGCTTCATGAATGGAGTGCAGGGGGAATCCAAGGATTATTCCTCCTAACTCCCCAAACAGGAGGCTAGTGTGTCAATGGAAGATAATAGTCTCAAGTTCCTAAAATAGGAAGCAGAACTGACATAACAGCCTTTTGCTTTGGGAGTTAAGAGAATGAAGAATCCCTAGATTCCTTCTACATGCCAACCCTGAAGCTGGAGATTCTTGTGTCAATGGCAGACAACAGCCTTCCTCACACTCATTCGCTCCCTGCTTCTCCTGCCTGGTTGTCCCTCTCTCATGGATGGAGCCAGGCCATACCTGTAGGATGGAGGAACCCAGAAAGTTCTCTTTTCCCAGAGGGTTTTTAAGCTCAGTGGGTGGAGAAAGGAGAGGCCTCATTTGCCCCATTATCTGGCCACACCTTCTTGTATCTTACAAGGTAAATTAATGCTATGCCCTGTTTCTTCCAAAAGGCAGACATTTAGGGAGCAACACTGGTATTACTAGAGTGTTTTGGGGTGTCACCCCACTTATGGTGTCACCTGGTGCAGTCCACACCTCCTATGCCCCTTAGTGAAGCCTCTGCCACAAGGCTGGCATGGGAGAGAGGCTTCTTGGTCCCTACTCAGCCAGTTACTTGGTTGCTGCTTTCAGAATGACTGGGTGGCAAAGGGAGCAGTGACTGAGATTGATTGTTTTGAATGTGCAATAGAACAGTAGACCTAATATAAGAAATACACATGGCAGGATTGCTAGGGGCAACACTCAAAAGAAAAGAGGGCGGTAGTCCTAAATAGTTTGGGGGCCACTGATCTAGACACTATACTCTTGTTGATGAAACCAAGAATCATGTTGGCTTTCTTGGCTGCCACATCACACTGCTAACTCATGTTCAGCTTGTGGTCTACTAAGACTCCTAGATCCCTTGTCTGTCTAGGTGTCTCCCATTCTATATCTGTGCATTTCAAAGCCCTATACAAACTAGCTTCACTACATCCTTCAGCCTTTATTTCTTTTTACCAGCCTGCTCGAGATCTGTATTTTAGAACTCTAGGCTTCTTATCCAACCAAGGGTTTCCTGTTCCTTGGCTTTGTCCTTTTTCATTCACTGCTCCATGCTCCTGGAATTGTCTCCCTGAACCTTTATGGGCTGCTCCTTCCCTTGTTATTTTTAAATCTCAATTGAAAACTTTATTGTTTTCCAAAGCTTTTTGAATTTTAGTTTAATATTGTTTTATAATTTTGCATATTTTGATAATAAATATTTGTTAATTTGGAGAATCAGTATAATGTAGTGTTGAGTGTTGGATCATGACCCTGCAGAACAGGGTTTGAATCTCTGCTCAGCCATGTAAACCCACTGAGTGACCTTGGACAAATCACACACTCTCAGCCTCAAAGGATGGCAATGGCAAACACCCTCTGTAGAAACATGCCAAGAAAACCCCATGAACTACCTTAGGGTTGCCATAAGTCAGAAATGTCTTCAAGGCACACAACAACAACAACAACAACAACAACAACAACAATTTGTCAAAACAAAATGGCAGCTGCGACTCATTTGCGCATGCGCATGAGTACTGCGCATGAGTAAACGAGCCGTGGCCACAGCTGAGGGGGTTGGCAGGGGTGCACGCACGCACACGCACTGCCATTCCCCCCCCCAAACCGGCCTGGCGGAAGACCTGGGGACCAGCAAACGGCCCCAGGTAAGAGAACCTTGCCGACCCCTGGCATAGATCATTAATCAGCTATGCGCCTATGTCTGGAAAAGTGAGTACTGTGCCATCAGAGAGTAAAGTAATGGATATTTTATCGCGATATTCACAGAAAACAAATTTAGCAGCCTGCCACTGCTTGCTCATGTTGCCAAGCCATAAAGAAAGTGGCTTTTTTTAAAAGAAGAAGAAGAAGAAGAAGAAGACCTTATTTAGAATGTGATTTTGGAATTTTTTCCTATGTTCTCAAATAAAGGTTGCATCTTTAAAAATGGCTTCATTTTGGACAAATTGGCAAAAATGTCAATAATAATCATATTAGGCAGGCTTATTTTTCATTTTCTGTACATTAATTTTGCCAGGGATTCATCTGACCTTTCTGCATACTTCAAAAAGTGATTATTTGCAGCTGAACTTGTGTTTGGGGTGCAGTGGGGATGGAGAAAGAGATTTGCTTAGTTTTGCTGTGATTTCTGTTCTAAAAGATCATGTGTAATAAATTATTGTTTGTTACTGTTGTGTGCCTTCAAGTCGTTTCTAATTTACGGCAACCCTAAGGTGACCCTATCATAGGGATTTCTTGGCAAGTTTCTTCAGATAGGGTTTGCCATGGCCATCTTCTGAGACTGAGTAGCTTTACTTGGCTGAACTGGGATTTGAACCCTGGTGTCCAGAGTCTTAGTCCAATGCTAAAACCACTACACCATGCTGGATAAATAGAATC